TTTTTTATGTGTTTCTGGATTCTGTTAGCTAGAATCTTGTTAAGGATCTTTGCATCTGTCAACACATGAGTTTTAGAGGGGTGCAAACCACAACTGGGGTAAACTCCCACATTCATAGAATGAAAAACTACACAATAAAAAACAAAATGCAGCTGGGCACCGGTGACTCAAGCCTGTAATCCTAGCTACTCAGGAGGCTGAGATCTGAGGATCAGCCTTCAAAGCCAATCTGGGCAGGAAAGTCTGTGAGACTCTTATCTCCAATAAACTACCAGAAAACCGGAAGTGGTGCTGTGGCTCAAGTGGTAGAGCTATAGTCTTGAGCTGAAGAGCTGAGGGACAGGGCCCAAGCCCAGAGTTCAAGCCCCATGACTGATTTAAAAGAAAAAAAAAAAGCAACCTACTGCAAATGCAAAACATGACTGAATCTCAAAAGCAGAGTGTTCAGAAAAGCCAGACACCAAAAGATACAGGCTATATGGTTCTATTTACAGGACATTCTTTTTGTTTGTTTGTTTCATTTTTAGTCATAAACAACCTATTCTTTTTTAAAAAATTAATTGTTCTTATAGAGGTGCTGTATAGAGGAGTTATAGTTACATAAGCCAGAGAAAGAGTACATTTCTTGTTTCTTTTCTTTTTGCTTGTTGTGGGGCTTGAATTCAGGGCCTAGGCACTGTCCTTGAGCTCTTTTGCTCAAGGCTAGTGCTCTACCACTTTAAGCCACAGTGCCACTTCCAGTTTTCTTGTGGTTAATCGGAGATAAGGGTCTCATAGAATTTCCTTTCTGGGCTGGCTTTGAACTGCCAAGATCTCAGCTTCAGATCTCAGCCTCCTGAGTAGTTAGGATTATGGGTACGAGCCATCAGTGCCTAGCTAGGAGTACATTCTTTTTGGACAATGTGATCCCTTCCCTTACTCTCTCTCAGCTTTTCCTTCCCATTCTCCACCCACAAATTGTATAGTTTATTTTCAACATAGTGTCCATAGAGTATATACGATATTCTAAAAAGAAAAGAGGCTGGGTGCCAGTGGCTCATGCTTGTAATCTTAGCTACTCAAGAGCCTGAGATCTGAGAATTGCAGTTCAAAGCCAGTCTGGGCAGGAAACATAGGTAACTTTTGGAGATGACAGATGTATTCATGTGGTGTATGGTTTCATGGACATGGTGGTGCTTGCCTGTAATACTAGATCTTGGGAAGCTAAAGCAGGAGGATTGACGATTTGAGGCCAGCATGGGCTATACAGTGACTTCTTGGCCAGCCTGGACAACAAAGGGAACCAAACCAACCAACCAAAAAAGTAGAAAAGACCACTTGAAAGAAACCATTTATTGGGCCTAAGATTGCAACACCAGGGGACAGCACAGGATGAGTTCATCTCTCCATTGACTGGAGAAAATAATCTGTTTTGGCTAGAAAAGCATGAGGCTACAATGTCTTCACCAATCAGGGCAGACTATAATACAAATGACGACAGTGCTCTCAACTAATCACCTGGGTTCCTCATGCAAGAGGTCTGTGTCTACACCAATCACAGGCCTTTTGCTAGGCCACCAGAGGAAGTGCTACTCTCTGGCCTCAGTGGAAATTGCTTGCAGTCATCTAGCTAGAGTTCACTGAGGCTTATGAGGTGAAAAGCCCAGC